ACTTGATTGAGTTCGGGTGCTTTGCAGCTCAATATACCCGGGTGTTCGAGTTTCAACCCGAGTGTGCACAAAATTTTCTTGATTGGCTTATGACGTTTTTGTTTCTACAAAAAATGTTGCCTTCTCATCGCGGTGTTCTTAGTTTTTGTGCGTAGAGGGCAAAGAGAACGTTGAATTTTTCGGTAGTTTGTTTAAGTGTACATTTAACCATTTCTTATATTTTTGCTCATACAAAATGCGACATCACGACGCCTACATCCATTTAGGTATAATTGTGTGTAGATCGGCATTGCCCAAGCCCTATACACTCGGTGCACATTTATTTTTTGTAAAAGTACTTATGTACTATGTAGATGTACATAGTTTTAGGCTGTGTGTTCTAGTATATACTCACACAGCTTTCCACGCGAAACTATACGAAATAGATGCAAACACATTTTTGTCTACTTCGCTTCTAATTTTTTCATTGCGTATGCACAAGCACAAAGCAACAACATTTTCGTATGCTTTGTGGGAACATATTGGCGCCAGTTACCTTCAGCGTAAATTTCTTTGTTGTCCTGCATTTTATCGCAATGTTCGGGTGTCCGTTTCATTGTTACACAAATTTTCGGGTTAGCTGCGGGTGTCCGAGTGTGGTGTTCGCTTGTGCTCAATTTATAGCGAGGGTAATCGAACAGACTCGTTCGTAACCAAAGCAGCTGTCGGGTATGCATCTCGATCGAACACATAGTAGCCGAGTGTGGCGTTCGCTTGTGCTTGATTTTTAGTGAGTGTGATCAAAAAGGCTCGATCATACTCAAAGCTGTTCTCTGGTCCCTACCCTTGGTGTGACACGCCACAAATCGAAAGAGAAGCTCGGCCAAACACTAACATATGTATGTACATATGTGTAAGCGCCAATCTATTATTGTTATTATTATTAATCTTCATATGAAGCGAACAGGGTGTGTAGAAAATATTATTTCATGTGCAATTTTCGAATATTTAATATTCTTGGATTTTCCTGACGAATCAACTTTGAAGTCTGGTTTTAAAAAAAGCTTTCGATATACATACATACTACAACTCGTTATCCCAATATACATATGCATGTACTATGTACATAGAAAGGCGCTATCTACTTATCTAATTTTGGTTTAAAATTGGAAAACTCAATAAAGTTAATAGTTCTTTAGTTGACTTTTTTTAAACGCTATTTTTTT